TACCACACAAGCATGGATGACAGCGAGACGGACAGACGGGCAAATCCTTTCTGCTGAGCAGATGATGCTGCTCCAGGATCAGCCCCACAGATACTCCTTCTGTCGCGCTTGAGTTTTTGGATGCCTTTGCTTTTGGCACCAGATTTTCCTTTCCAGACTGAAGCTTTGCATTTGGAATCGCACCTCCAGAGCCGGGTTTGGTGGCCGGGCTGCTCATACGTTCCCTCCCTGCTGCCAGGAGTTTGGCTTTTGGTTACGTAAAGTTTCCTTGTGTCATCCCTGGCAGTGCTCAAGGCCAGGTTGGATGGGGCTTGGAGCAAGCTGCTCTAGTGGAAGGTGTCCCTGCCCATGGCAGGGGCTGGAGCTCGATGAGCTTTAAGGTCCCTTCCAACATAAACCAGTCTGGCATTCAATGATTCCTGCTGCAGCCATCTGTCCTGAGGTGCCAATGCCCTTTATCTTCCTGCACCCCTTACCCAGACCAATCAGTCTGGGAGGACACCATGGAGGAAGACACGGGGTCATATCAGGTCTACACCGTGTGCTGCCCTGCGGGCTCCGAGCCACTCAGCTGGATCCCTGCTTCTACAGATCAGTGCAAGCGCAGCAGCTTGAGTGGCATGGTGCTAACGCGCAGCAGCACGCTTCAAAGGGTTTGTTATTCCACATCCATGTCATCTAAGAAAGACGCTGGGCCAGAAATAGTGTCTTCTGGAAAGAGAAGGAATGCTCCCCGTCTGCGCCCGCTGCAGCCCCCGGGGCTCAAAGTCCCTGGCAGCTCCTTGCCCATCACCTGCATCCCTGTGCTCCAGGGTCCCAGGGCTGTGATGCAGGCACCAGCCACAACTGCTAAGCATCCCCCCTGCCATAGGGACCCCAGTCATAGATCCAAGTCGAAGACAAGCAGTATTTGCATTTGCTTATCAAGCCCATCCCCATCCATGGGGATCCACAACACTTCACTCTCAGGTATGAAAAACGAGTCTCCGTTCCTCCAGCTGTTTCCTAGCTTTGCCTCTTCCACCGCAGGCCCCGATCAGCTCCTCCAGCTCCATGGACATCCTCTGATTTCTGAAGTCCTTATGGATGAAGCCTGAGAGATAACCACGCTGAGTGACAAGGAGGTTGCTGCAAGTATCGTAAGTTCATTATTGCCCTCCTTCATCTTCCCCATGGTGCAGTTGCTGTAGGAATCACTCCGGGCTCTGCAGGGCTGTTCCTCTCACACATCCTCACTCCTCTCTCCCACTGCAGTTGCACAGGGTTTTTCCCCCTTTTTAAACGTGTTATCCCAGAGGCACCACTGGTAGGCTAAGCCTTGGCCAGCAGTGGGTATCACCAGCATCCCCAGGGCCTGCCTCATGCACCAGGTTTGATACCAGTGGGGTTCACCCTGGTGATGCTCTACTGATCACCCTGGGTGCTGGGCAATTCTCAGGGTGCTGGGTGCTTGTTGGGGGTCCAGCACCCCCTGCCCATTTGGTGGTGATCCCCCTATAGAGCTGAAGGGTCCCTTGCATAGAAGCAGGGACACAACCCCCTGAGCTCCCCATGCCTGGCAAGGCGAGGGCTGACAGAGCCAGAGCGTGCTCAGTACCGAGTTCAGCCATCCCATCCCCTGACAGGAGTGTAAATCCATCCTGATGGACTGGAAAATTGGAAAGCCAGTGCTCACGCTGTATTTTCTATAGACATCTATCTCAGCTCCTGAAAGATGCATTTAGTGGCAGGCTCCAGTCCCAGCCATGTAACTGCATGCTATGCTAATTAAAATATAGCCTGCGTTTTGTAACAGGATTTCCTCGGAGCGTGTTTTGCTGTTCAGGAACCACTTTCAAACAGTTGATAAAACCCACATCAAGTAAATAACTTCTGGATTGCTCACAGAAGGTTGGTCATTTCTTCCCCCTCCAGCCCCCCAAAGCCCACTGGGACTGGCTGTGCTCGTTGCAATGGCAGAGGATGTGAAATGCACTGATTGCTGGGTGCTTGTAGTCCAGATCAAAAGCTGTGCGTTATTTAATCGCACAGAGCCTATTCCACTGAACAAAACTAAATGTGTTTGTACAAAATGGGATAACAAAGGGTCACAGGGCTGGGCTCTAACCCTGAATACCCATAGGAGCAGCCCTGGAAGGACATGTCACAGCAGCCCTCAAATCCCCCCCAGTGATGCCCTGACACATACTGTGCACACCGCCTCAGCTGGACTTCCTCTCTATCAAGTTCTGAAGCCAGAAGAATCTTAGCTCTACAGGGGTTGGATTATAAACCAACATGTTCCACGCTTCCCTTTTTATGTGGTTTGCTTTTACAAGACCTCCGTGTGGCATTTTGTATGCCAAAGTGAGCACATTCTGCTTCTTTGGTCTGCAGCCTCCCTCTCCAGCCCTGGATCCTTCCATCACATTCCTCACTGACAGAGAAGTTAAAAATGTATAGAGGGAAACATCTGTGGCACCATCCACTTTAAATAGCATCTTTATCGATCCATAACGGGAAAAACACAGGAGAAGCAGAGGGCTGAGAGATACTAATTCCATTTGCTTCTGTTCCAGGCTTTCCCCGCTCTTTCTGCCAAGGAGGAGAGAAGGAAGGGGAGACGCTCCCTATGGCCTCTGATAGCTCCCCAGCAGACAAATCCCCCCGCTCTCAGCAGCCTGGCTCTGATGTTATCTCAGTGCTGGCACTGACACCGGCTGCACCGGCGCTCACCGCTCACTTGTTGCACGAACGCGGAGCTCACGCTCCCTTTTCCTTCCCGATGGACGATATTCTCTGGACAATACCCCCGCGGGGCTGTGCTCACCACAAAGCCAGGAGCAGCTCAGCGGCTGCTACCCCCCTGGGGCAACCAGCCTGGAGGTGCCCGGGCGCCACGAAGAACGGGAGGGGAGCGCTGACGATGGGGGTACAGAGGAGCTCAGCACCCCCGGGCTGCACTCCTGCAGCGCTGCTGCCCCTCCTCTGCCCGCAGCTGCCAGCCTGGCCGCGTCCTGCCCGCACAGCCCATGGCCGCACGCTGCATTCACACACTGCTGACACCGAGCTCCTCACGCTGCTGCCCGGAGCCTCCTGGCACGAGTCCTCGGGAAGGGATGTGCCTCCGCTGCCACCGCACCGGTGGGTGGGTAAGAGTGGATGCCGGAGGAGAGGCTTTCGCACCTCCTCTCTGTTGAGCTACATGGCTCCACGAGTGCAAAGCACCAAGAAGCCACCAGCCCAGCAACTGATGGGTGCAAGTCATGTGAAATTAGTTGCTTCTTGGAAGCACGAAGAGAAAGAGCAGGCAGAGGGAGCACAACGAGCCAGCTCTGCAGCGGCTGCTCCTGCTGCCCGTCACCGTTTGGGAGCAGCAGGGTTTCCTAAGCCAGGACTGTTTGTGACCTCCCGTAAACAGACCAACAATCCCCTCCTGGGCATGGGGGGAGCCGCATCACCCCTCGAGCCCTAGGGCTGCGTGTGCAGGCACTTGGGCTTTCGCAGCAATAATTCACCAAACCTTGCAAAGGGTCAGCTATTCATCAGCTCCCTCTGCCAAAGGAAGGGGAGTCCAGCACACCGTGTTCTCCTACCCTGAGATTTATGACAGATCACGCTTGCTGTAAGGGCCAGATCCTGCTCCGGATGAGCTGGGCTGCCTGCTGATGCTCCCAGAGGGTGCTTGGGACCAGGGCTGCTCTCCTGCCCACAGGGCTGCTGCACACCTGAGGGGTCCAACCCTCAGTGGGTCTGTTTAGGGTCCCTCGAAACCTCACCCCCTCCCAGCAGCATGGGGACCGCAGCAGCACACACACATCTCCCACAGCAGCTCCCCAACAGCCTGGACAAGAGCGTTTGTGTAACACCCTGGAGAAATCTGTGGTCTTTCTGTTTGTTCCAGTGCTAGAACAGGGTGGAAGCAACTGTGCACAGACTTCAGATCTGATTCCTTCTTGCGTATGTGCACGTCCATGCAGAGAGCACAAACCCATGCAGGTGAGAGAGAAAATGCCGTAATCTGCGCCCATTTTTGGTTTGTTGCCCAGAAGGAAGGATGGATTCTGTAATACAATCCCTGTCTTGGTTTAAGACCAAGAAGTCAAAGTCTTTTAATGCAATCTGAACATGAGGACAGAAGGCGAAGGCGGGCAGGCGGCGCGATGCAGTGCTCCCGACACCAGGAGCTGCTGATCTTTGCTAAACCCACAGGGCCGGCGCTGGGCGTGAGGACGAGCCTCCGGGCCCCGCACACCGACCGCAGCGCTGGCCCCTCCGCCTGCCTCTCAGCAGTCCGCGCTGGTGAGCAGCGCCCCGAATGCCACCGCCTCATCCCCGCAGCCTCCCCCCTGGCGCAGGCTCCGGCTGAAGCGATCTCTAAGCCCCACGCGAGTTTACAACGACTTTGTCAAGTCACCGGCAAGCGGGTCCCGGAGCCTATTCTTAGGTCTGTCACCACGGCAGTGGGAGAGGGAGCGGATCTGCGTGGAGACGTGGAACACGTGGAATGAACACGCAGCCCCTGGGTAAACACCACCCCACAGCCACCCCCTGCGTGCCCAGCCGGTGGGGACGGGAACACCACCGCTGCCCACGGCAGTGGCTGGGAACACCGGGCTGCTTTCCCTGCGGGATGGAGGCGGTGGGTCCGGCGCAGCTCCCGTTGGCGCCCGGCTCCCGGTAGGACGCGGCCCCGGCGGCGGGAGCTGTCCGCCCCGGGGTGCTGAGCGCCGCTGTCCCGCCGGGCCCCGCTGCCGTTACCGGTGCCGCTGCCGGTGCCGCGCTCTCTCGCCGATGCCAGAAGTTTCATCCCGGCCCGGGGAGCAGCAGAAACGGGGGTCCCCGGCCGGGGGCGGCACAGCCGGGTCCTCCCGGGCCGCCTGCCCGGGCAGATTCCCCCCTCCCCGCTCCCCGCGGCATCTCCTCCACCGCCCCCCCCGCCGGCAGGCGCAGGGCCCCGGCAGCCGTGCCCCGGTACCCTCGCTCCGCGCCGCACCCCCGGCCCGCTCCGCCCCGCTTACCTGGCCGCGGGGCCGCGGGGCTGCCCAGCAGCAGGGCGAGCAGGCAGAGCCCGCGGGGCCCCGGCATCGTGCGGCGGCTGCGGCGGAGCCTCCGCGCTGCTGCGAGCTGAGCCCAGCCGAGCCGAGCGGGGCCGGGCCGGGGGCGGGCGCTGCCGCCGGGGCCGGCGCGGGGGAGCGAGCGCGGCGGAGGGCGGAGAGGAGCGGAGCGAACGGAACGGAGCGAGCGGCGGGGGAGGGCGCCGGCGGCAGCCCCGGCCCCGCGCAGCGCCGTTTGCTCCGGCCCCGCCCGCGGCTCCCCCGGTTCCTCCCCCCTCGCTTCTCCCCAGCCCCACAGCTCCCGCGGTCCCGCGGCTCTCCGGGGCTTCCTCTGTCCCTCCCCCTTCTCCCCCGACTCCAGGAGCCCCCAGCCCGGGTGTGCTCCCCACTGCAGACCCCTGCCAAGCCTCTGAGTCATCTCACTGCCCCTTGTCCCCCAGCCACCTCATCATCCCACACCCCCCCCCATCATCCCAAACCCCCTTCAGCATCCCAAGCCCCTCTCAACAGCCCAAGCCCACCCTTACCCCCTTTTCCTCCCCTCCTGCTCCCCAAAAGCAGGCTGTGAATAGGGCAGTGGTGCTGTGGGGGGGGCTGATACAGGCCCTGTGCCCCCCCCCCCCCCCCTTTGGGCTGTGGATCCACCAACGTCTGGTCCTGCTGCTGCCGCCAGTGAAGCCATCCTGGGGGGGCTGCATTCTGTGAACTGCCCAGGTACCATGAGCACACCATGAGCACACAGGTGATTGCAAGGACTTTGATAACAGAAATAGAGGCTTTGTTGTCTCTAAATCCCAAATCCTACCCTGTGATTTGCATTAACTGTACATCACCTCCCTGTGAGAGCTGCCTGGTCCTCCCGGCCACTCTGCCTGTCAAGTCAAACAGCCAGAGCACTGCCACAGAGCACAGCAGTGTCCAACACCACAAGACCAAGGCCAGCCTTTCCCTCAAGTAGCCAGTTTGTTGAGGAGAAGTCCCTGCTACCTTTGAGAGAGCAATTACATTGATTCAGCAACAATAATCACCTACTGGTATCACTACAAATGCCACCACGCAGAACACATCAAGTCAAGAAACTGTCCAAACACGGCACTGATCCTGCTGTGCTTTCCCTGCCGGGTTGTGCCGAGTTCCTGCACTGATGTCGCTGCAGCCGGGGCTGAGGAGCACAGTGCAGGCTCTGCACAGCCAGGCCATTTGCATTCCCTGTGTCGCTCCTGCCTGCAGCCAGCTGGGAGCTGTTGGGCAGCAAGCGAGAGAAGGACACAATAAGAGAGGGAGAGAAGGCACCGAGAGGTGCAGGGCATTACCCAGCGCTGTCACTTCACGCACAAAATGGGATTTGCCTGCTCGCAGGTTTAATTTGCTCTAGCAAAGCTGTCTGTGGCAGAGCAAGCGCAGGCTGCTCCGGGCCCCCCTCCCCGCCTCCCTTCCTGACCTGCCATTATTCAAGATTAAAGTTGTCTCTCATTTAGCAGTTTTCCTTGAGCGGTTTTGATTGTGTTCATCTGCATTGTAGTAAACTCCGCAGATAACCAGATAATAACACCAGCACCATGGTAACAGCCAGGAGAGACAGAACAAGTGCTGTGTTTGTAACGCAGACATACCCACGAAGTGGCCAGAGTGGATGGTGATGGAGAGGGTTAAGCTCAAGCCTCAGCTTATCTGCCAGTCAGGCCCAGGTCCCACTGCAGCACCCCAAAAGCCAGGACATTCCTCCCAGCACCCAACCACCTGCAGTTGTTGCTGCTCCACTGAGGGCCAGTGGGGATCCTGGGGTGTTTCTCCTGAGTCTCCACAGCTCCTGGGCCTGTAGGGACTCAGTGGCTGCTGGGGACAACACTGCTTGGTGGGGGACTTGGGCAAGCTGGGATGAGGTGGGATGCATCGAGGGATGCACTGCAGGATGCACCGTGGGATGCACTGCAGGATGCACCGAGGGATGCACTGCAGGATGCACCGTGGGATGCACTGCAGGATGCACCATGGGATGCACTGCAGGATGCACCGAGGGATGCGCTGCAGGATGCACCGTGGGACGCGCTGAGGGATGCACTGCAGGATGCACCGTGGGATGCACTGCAGGACGCATTGAGGGATGCGCCACGGGATGCACTGCAGGATGCACTGAGGGATATATTCCACATAGCTGGTGCATAACAGGGTGATCTGAGTAATTTTCCTCCCGCAGCCAGTGCTGAGGCCTAATGGTCTGTGGAATTTTAGCCCAGGAAACAACAGCAATGTCAGCAGTGGCGGAATCAGCAGCTTTGGTGTTCCCCGGGTTCCCCCTGAAACACCAGCTGGGACTCGCAGCCAGGAGACCCCTCCAGCCCCTGGCTCCTTCAGCACCTTGCATGGTCATGCATCACTGTGCATCACCATGCATCATTACCTGCATCAATGTGCATTGTTGTGCATCATCACCATGCATCATCACCTGCATCACTGTGCATTGTTGTGCATCATCACCATGTATCACCAATCATCATCACTGTGAATCATTGTGAATCACTGTGCTTCACCATGCACCATCACCGTGCACCATCACCATGCAGAGAGCGCTGCTGGCAGGCGCAGGCAGGATGGTGGCTCTGGGTAAGCAGGGCAGGCAGCAGCAGCTCTGGAGATGTTTATGTGGTCACAAACCTGGGGTATTCAAAGGCAACAAAGAGACGCGTCTCCGGAGTCACTTTAGTGGGCATTGCTCTAATTAGCACCGTGTTCAATGGCAGTTACCTCAGACCTTTGATTAACAGTGAAGAAAATCAATAAGCACACTAAAAATCCAGATAAGTTTCACAGCTAGTATTAATTTCACATTTTAATCTCGTATTAACGTCAATCTTAATTACCATAATGAAGTCAGATTGACTTAGGAATAGAAGCTTGAAGATAAGATGGTACAAGAAAGGCAGAGCCTTGTGAGCAGAAAAGCGCTGCTCACCGCGGTCTGGGATGCGGCTGATGCTGGTGAACATCGACACCAAGGCTGTTCCCAGCCTTGCCTGGCTCCCCGCATGGAGCCTGTCCCCTGGGATGTCAGCAGGAGCCTGGGACCCCCTGACCTGCTCTGCCCCATTCCAGGGTGCCTGAGTCTTCAATCACCTCCTCCTCTCAGCACACAGCAGCGCATGGAGGTGGCAGAGCATCCGTGCTGGTCATGCCTGAGCTCTGCTTGTCACAGCAGGAGAGATCCATGCGATCCCAACTGCCCGGAAAATCAATCCCTCATTTATTTTCACAATGGAGATGCAGCAGCCGGGCGCTGCTGCCCGTGCTCTGCAGTTACACCTATCGATCGCCATCTGCTCTCTGCTCCCTGCTCCTTGCATCCCCCAGGATGCCCTTGGACACATCCGCCTGCGGGATGCTTCCCTTCCTGCTGACTCCCTGCATCTGAAGCTGGGACCCCGTGGTGATTTTATGAACACTGATGTGTCCAGGCCCTCATTCCCAGCCCTGAGGGTCACAGAATCCCAGAATGTGTTGGAAGGGACCTTAAAGCTCATCCAGTTCCAACCCCAGCCACGGCAGGGACCCCTTCCACTGGAGCAGCTTGCTCCAAGCCCCTGTGTCCAACCTGGCCTTGAACCCTGCCAGGGATGTGGCTACCCATAACCTCACTGAAGAGCATCTCAGGGCTTAAATGTGAGTGGGGTGCAGATCCCTTTGCCCAGGGCCAGTGTGAGGAGGGCAGGGCTCAGAGCAGAGGTGCTGCTGCTCAGCAGCAAGGTGAGTTTTCCCTGGTGCTTGTGGGGCAATGAGGCCCCAGTGCTGGGGATAGGGCAGCCCAGGGAGGGAAAGGGGGACGGAGGTGCAGGGAGGACAGACCCCAACCTGGGTGCATCTGGGGGTCCTGGCTCCGGATCCCTGCAGCACTGCCCAGCGCACTCCGGGGCTCCAGTCCCAGGCTGGTACAGATGCTGTGGGAGGGAAAGAGAGGCTCCTGTGAGGGTACACAGGGGCAGGCTCCTGCCCTCAGAGCCCTTAGTGCACACACGGGGCCGGTCTCCTCCCTGCAGCTTTCCCGGGATGCTTTTACCCCTCCCTGCAGTGCCTGGAGGGGCTTCAATGGCAGAAGGAAGCGGAAAAATAACCTCAGCTTTAGGCTTGGAAGCTGAGGTCTCCCGTAGCGAGGCTGAATGGGGGCTCTGAGGAGCGGTCTCCAGGCACCGCTGGATGGGGGCACTGCTGGTGAGTGGCAATATTGTCCCAGGGCAGAAAAGGCCTTTGTCCCCCTGGGATGGCAGAGCCACTCCAGGCCTTGGCTTTGGGAGCAGGCTGCCTCCCTGCTCTGCCTCCCAAACACGGGCACTGAATGGGGGGTTTGAGCCTGAGGCCAGGCTCGGGTCCAGCCCCTTTGAGCGAGTGCCTGCGGGCACAGCTGGGGGCCCTTTCAGGAGGGAAGCCCTTGTTCCTTGTCAACAGGGGAAGACTTTGCACAGCTCAAAAATAGGCTCCCTATTGCCCATTGGGGTCGGGAGGGGGCTGAGAGGGACAAACACACTGCAGGGATGGAAGGCGGTGTCCCTGCAGAGCGGGAGGGAAGGGACCCTGCAGGCAGTGCTGGCTGCTCCTCGGCCAAGCACCGGCCCGGCTGCGGCTGTGCCCTGCAGCATCACCCGGGCATCCCACCTCAGCATCCCTCAGGGATGCGGTGCCACTGGCTTCAAAGAGAGGATCTCTGTGGCACATCCCAGGGAGCCATCCCATCGAGCAAAGGCTTTCATCCTGCAGCAGGGATGAAGCCTGGGAGCACCTGCCTGACCCCTGGGACCTTTATTCCCCAGCCACAAAGCAGGACATTGATTTATCCTCTATGCATAATTCACAGCTTAATTAACTAAAGCTCCTCATAGCAGCACTCAGACAGGCTCCCGTCAGCTTCAGGCACTGCTGCTCTTCCAGCCCATCCCACTCCAGGGTTAGATCCTCTCTCCCAAGGCAGAGATGCTGCTCCATAGCAAGTCCATATGAGCATCTTCACAAGTGCTGGGGACAACCACCTTCCACCAGTGCCAGCTGTCAGAAAATA